TTCCTTTAAGTGATCACAAACTACAAAACGGCAAATCACATGACATAGAAGAGAAGGGTATATAATATTCAATTAATAATTATGTTCGAATAAATGTCGACATTCGATGCCATAAAAACCATAAAATTCGCAAAAGTTCTTTAAGTATTCGGAATTTTCGGATTAATCAATGAGTAGATGTTTCTTTTGATGTGTAAAACTTAAGCATCAAGTAATGTACGTTCTATTTTATTGTACTAAAATGTATTTACTTATAGCATGTGTTTGATTATGAACGGTGTGCTAGTATCAAATTGACATTTTGAACACAATATTCTATTACGGTTTTCTTAAAGTGTACCTATTTAAAAATTAAAATACTCAAAAATTCCGCGGTGAGTAGTTCTTTAGTAGTTAGTTAATACTGTAAGCGATTTAAGGTAAATATCAGTACTTATATATTATAATTGTTCGTTTGTGGGACTATAACTTAGTTATACCTAACTACGTTTTTTTTTTTTTAAATTTAATATACCATAATCATGGATGATAAGTCTATGATAATATACAATCATATTATATATATTTCATTGTCATTAAAAAGACTAATTTTTGTTCGAGCCGTGTTTCAAAATTAAACTGCCAGCCAAAGATGACGCTTTTTATTTGYATTCCCTGTTTGCGCACCTGCGGTATGAATGATTCTGTGTGATTGATAAGACCATATCACTGGTTTTATTTGCTTCCTTAATTCACACTCCACTGCACCGGTGTAAAGTATGCCAGAGTATTACGGTACAATCTGTATAGCATCCGTGTTTCGTTCGTTAAGTTCGTTTCGATTTTGCATTTTAAATTAGAATGCTCTCAGTACCACCGAATAATTTTTTAATCAATTCAATGGCATCGATCATCTAATTTATTTATGACAGATGCCTAAGTATATRTTTCAGAAGGGATGTGGGGGTCATTTTCGTGGTCTTGCTGTGAATTCAAAGTTTTGCGTACGAAAAGTTTGAATTATAAAGTTCAATAAATACGACGTATGATAAATAAATAGGAGCTGTTATTTAACACTTAAGTCTATATTATATAGTCTAGTGGTGGTCTCAAACTCAAATTACCAGCCGATCATAAAAAAATTTTAAAAAATGCTATCATTCAGTAATAATAATAATAATAATAAATTAATGAATATTAAAATATTTTTAACTATTGTATAGGCAACATTGAAAGGGTTCGCAAATCGTCTGTGGCGTAATATATAGGTATAATAGCTTATATTTTTTTTTATATAAGTTACGATAAGTATTAAATGTGGGTATTTTTAAATAATCTACATCAAAATTACTGACAATGTTATTTTTAGTTTAAATATCTAATTTTAACTTAAAAAATATCTTTAAAAAAAACTAAGTTTATGTATTCCCTTAATCTATTTTTGTTTTACCTGATATTTTTTGAAAAATCCAGAGAATTTTTAATATTGACCGTTTAAATGAATAAACTATAGATATCTGTTATCTAAAACCGACTTATTTATATCAGAAACCACCATCAAAGTAAAAAATCAAAGCATTTTTCTACTTTTTTTTGTGTACATAGTCACGAATAAAAAATAAAAACACGCCATTAGGTAAAGCCAATATACTCATCGCTCATTTTAAAATCATAATAAATGTATGAAGGRGGAAGATGTTGGGGGAGGRATTTATGTACATGTTGTAATATATTTTAAACACTTCTATGCCACCGACTCTTTTATAATTATAATACTCTTTTTTGTAGTTACTAATTAGCATATTATAGTAGGTGAATACTTTTAAGTTATCTGTGGTTCCTATAGTTAGTTGAACTTGGTGCATACTTATTATCAATTCATAATTACTTTTACGTTCGTAATTTTCGTACATGAAAAATCTCTATTGACTATCTCTATCTATATTTAAGAAAGTATAGGTACTATTAATCCTAATGCTGTAGCTGTTATTAAATTTAATATTGTAGAAAATATCGTGTTAACAATAAAGTATAAATATTGATACTAGATTTTTTTTGCGGTTAATAATGTTTACAGATGTTTATTTTTTTTGTTTTGATTCAAAAACAAGATTTATCGTAAGTAGTTTATACTGTAATCAATAAATCTAGAAATTACGTAAACACAGTTTTTTTTATAGATATTTCAAGTTCAAACTTGTATGAGAATTTAAAAAAAGAATAACGATTATAATTATTTTATTGTAGCTTAAAAATATTATTTGTTGACACTTGAAACTTTTAATGTATTGGTATAATTATATTGTATACACGCAATGACATTTTTAAATGAACAATGAAGATGAACTGTTGTCAGCAAAAATTATTTGCAACATTTTGTATTGCTGATAATTCTCTATATATCATTAAGTAAAGTATTTCAATACATAAAATAAATATTTCGGACTAGTAGTTAGGTTATTAGATATATATCTATATATACTAACTAGTTAGTACCTTTTTAAAGTTTAGGTGAGCGGTGAGGCAACTGACGGAATAGTGGACCGGTATTTTATGGAGCACACGGTGTGCCACTTAACAAATCAGTTAATAAAAAATTGAAATTCTTAAAACTCATTTCATGAAATACTCGCCCAAAATTAGATTTTTCTGTTTAATACCTAATCTAAAAAATATTCTGATTTTTAACAAAGAATTAAATATGTAAATTTTCATAAAAAAAAATATAAAAYCTTAAAAGATAGCAAATAATAAAAATAATTTTTGTTTAAATGTTTATTTTTCAGAACTAAAAAGTATATTAAAAAAATATATAATCCAAACGGCAAAACATTTATGGTACTTGAAATAGTACAAGGTGTCCCGCGAGGATTTACCCATTGTGATATCTTCTGAAATAATGAAGATATCGAAATTCTGGTTAAATGTTTTGGTAAAAAAGTTWAAAAAWATATATTTTTTTTATTTTATTATTTCCAAAAAATATTGAGTATATTATAGCCTTTTAGTAGTTTTTTTTTTCTGAAAATAATGACGTTTCAAAATTTAATTTTCATTAATCTMTTGATTTTGAATTTTTTTCAATTTCGAGAAAAATTGCGAATTATTTAACACCTCTGGTGACTAGAAAAAATATTTAAAATCAAGAAATTAACGAAAATTAAATTTTGAAACGTCAATATATTCAAAAAAATATTCATAAAAAATGGCTATAGTCAATTTTTTTGGAAATAATTAAGTAAAAAAATATACTACCAAAACATTAAAGTAAATTAGAAAATTAAATAATTGTAGTGCTTATTCTTGTGAGTCTTATAACAAACCCAGAATTTTGATATCTCTATCATTTCGTAAGATATTGCAATGGGTAAGTCCTCGAAGGATACCCTGTACCTATAATGTATTATTTGGTAAAAAACTCACTTAGTATTGCTTTCGTATACATATTTTTATAAAGGAACATTTATATTTTAAATTTTAAAACTTTGGCACGAACAGGGGTTTAGGCATTAAAATGATTATGCCTTAGGAACGCTAGGCCTCTTTTATAATTTCATTGTTATCAGTCTACAATATTACATTTTTTTTTWAAATTCCTTGGTTTCACTTATTTTTTATATCCGTCGACAATTAGTGTTGTATTTTTATATATTTTTTATTTTTATTTTTATATTTTTATTTTTACTCACTAGTGCTGCAAGTATTCGTTCGATTCTATTGCTGCCATCATGACGATAAGGTTTTAAACATATTATAATTTATAGCCAATGACGTGTAGAGAAAAGTCAAAAGTCCAAATGTTTCCAACAATAATTATCTTAGCAGTGCAGCTCACGAGTACAGTACATATTATATTGCAATATTATTTTATTAAATTATTTAGATKGAGCTAACAGCCCACTAGTAAAGGCTAGTAGGCTACTGAGCCAAAGCTGTACCCATACGATGTCGAATCTCGAATGTATATTAATACGGTGAAGTCGACAYTGGAATGCGTATAGCTCGCGATCATAGTTTTGTATTTATAAACTTTGTGGCTGGTGTATTATTGTGAAACGCGTTTATATCGTTTATAATAATATAATTGTTGTTGGTGCGATCAACGCGACCCCCCTCCCACATCATGAAATGATTTCGGAGGGTACATCACTGCATGGATGCAATGATTATAGGAGAGGTTTTCATTTAAAATATTAATCACCGGGGTCTGTGCTGGTGATAGATTTGTGGCACCCTCCACCAGTAAGACTTTTCTAGTTTACGCCTGATTATCACTACCACAAATTGTGCACGTTTAATTCCAGAACACAATGGTTTACCAATGATTTCCGCTAGATTTCTGTGATCATCACAAGATTTTCGTGATCACTTAAATATTGCTGAGAATTTGTACATTGATTTTTATTGGTGRTTTACTCCTCGAGTCCTGCGGACCATAATAGTTGAACAGTTGAAGTTTATCTTTATACTTTATTAGCTGGTGTGCCTAATATAAGTTTCCGACGAATTATCGGCAATTAGACTACGAAAACAATTAAAAGTACAAATATTTAATATCATAATTCCGTGTAACTTCGCGGACGTACCTAAACAAGAGTACAACGGGCAATATCTGACAATATCAAAATATGCAATGATGAAAAATTCACGGCAAGCTCCGCGACGTCGGTAAACACTTTCCAATTTGGCGTTTTATTTTTCGGTCTACGCGCCGCATCGCATCACGCGCATCAATAACGCAACAATATTATTATTTTCAACGATCTACTGGAAAACAAGCGGCGGTCGCTTCCACTCGTTCGCGCAGAAAAACATTGAAAAATATCGTCGGTTACCCATCGATACCTAACCTAACCTGTGGAGATTTTCAAACTGGCCGACCACCGCAGCGATCCGTCCAAAAATACGTCCGACGACCACGACGACTTCATCACGGGCGTTATTACTATTACCATAATAATATGCTACCATTGATACCACGTTGCGACATAGTACCGTACGCGCGCGCGTAACCATCTCGTGGCCGTGTGTTGCGTAAGCGTATTTTCACCGTCGCAGCTGTAGTTGTCGAAAATCAAACGAAACACTCTCTTACGCACGCGACCGGTGTGGCGCGATWTCGTGTGTACCGTCCACGGCGCACGCCACCTCCAGCGGCCCAGTCAGCGCGTGACAGCGTCGAATCGACACACGGCCGATCGTGCTTCGACGACGAGTGTTTTCCGCGATAGTAATTCGTCGTCGTCGTCGTCGCCGAAATTTGTACAACTTTTTGAACGGCGATTAGATCGTAAATCGCTCGGCTATTAATAATTTAATCATCGTTGTATAGTAGCTCCGTCGTTTCACACTTGCGGTTTTTGACGCGAATACGCCACGGAGAATGGACGAGCGACACACAWCATCGGATGGAATCACGAATCACGATTTTGATAAACTGATAACGACACGGTGCTGTTGATAACGAAAAGTTATATTATTATTATTTTTTCGATGATAGCCTAACCACTACTCAACTACAACTACTTGGTCGACTCTCGATTTCTATTGCGCAAAGTCGATACTCGATACTGCTGGTACGATCAACATGAAAATGATTTAACGTCGAGTCGTCAAATCCTTAACCGCGACCATTTTGCGAAAATATCGTTTTTTTTCTGTCCCTCTACTCCCTTTTGGTCACGCAGTCGTGAACCACACAACTTCGTCYAGTATTCGATCAGCCACACTTTGGTCCTCGACAACTTTCAAGACGTTGTAGGTTGTACTTGAAGGCGGCTGTCCGCCTGCCCAAGTGCACAAMGCACGATTTTATGCACTTAGATCGTAGAAATTAACGGTCCCTGTCGTCATAATCGTTATGAGTACGACATATTACGATCCGGACGGTTTGCAGAGCGTCAAACGCAGACGTTCCACTAACTTCCGCGACACGTATTTGCGTAATCGCGAGTACGGGTTCCGGCCTAAGTATGGCGACCAAAGTCGTTTGCACTGCGAAATGTACACGTCCATATATCCCATCGCCAAATGGGAATACGACGTTTCAAACAATGACATCACCAATCCGGCTGGTATATTCAATTTGGAATTCTCCCCAGACGGGTAAGCATTATCATCAATCTTTTACATAGGTACTTATCTATTCTCAACATTGTCGTTTCTCTTRTAGCCAGCAGGTTGTACCTACATATTATGTTGTTTTGAAACAATTGCATTACCTATAGCCACTTCTATTTTGATAATTTCAGACATAYTTATTATTATAGGTATGTGTAATCAGTAAATAARCACAATTGAWGAATTTTAGGAATTAATTAGTGGGGAAGCTTGATTGCATAAAACTATCCATCGATACAACTTTATTAAGATATATTTTTTTTTAATACAAAAAAGTGGCATTTTAAATCTTATGGAAAATACATTAATTTATCTTCTGTAAATACTGTAGGTATACAAATATACATTTCTGTATTATCATTGAATAACATATTTTATCTTAAGGAAGTGCATATAAAATGTCATTTTAGTTTTCAAATTTGGAATTTGAAATTAATAGATGTATCTATTGTTGTTGTTTTGTACAAATTCTATTCCTAAACCTTTAAATATTCTAAAAAAAAATATATAACCTTTCTGATCATGGCCAATTATATATAGTAGAGATACTTATATACCTCGTTATATACATATATATATATATATCATTAAATGATTATTATAGTACCAATAACAACCTTCACCTTTAATCATTTTTAGCCATAGAAATATTTAGAAAAATATCTAATACAGTTATAATAAATTTAATGTAACTATACAATTCATCATGAGAATATAATTTTCTATAAATCATATGTAATACTGTATAATTTCAATTTATTGATACTCAATGTGTTATATATATCTATATATGTTATAATGTATATTCATTAATAAGTAATATATTGTAAAAGCTGTATGGCGTTTAAAAATAAAAATAATATTTAGAGGGACACTATTACCAGTGTGTGTTAGTACACTTTTCAAACATTAATAACTTTTTATAGTTGTGATATTGAAAAAATTAAATCATTGCACAGTATATGTTCTGGCGTTCTGCTCTTTGTAGTGTGAATATTTTTTTTCTTAATTGACTATACTATAGCCTCCTCTGTTTCTCCCTTTCAAAACCATTTTTGTCATGTTTTACATTTTTAATACAGAGCAACACATATGGGTGTAGCGTTCTCTCAATAAAAATATTCAACTTTATTGAAACCATAAAATAACAATTATGAAATCCAAATTATAGCATTTATTAAAATACAAAATGTTCTATAAATATTAGAGATAAATTATTTAATGATTATTCATCGTGTTTTCTAGGAAAATATTGGCAGCAGCATGTGAAAAGAAAAGCATTATGTTATTCGATCCTGTAACTCAAAAGTATATTACATCAATAAAAAAAGCACATAATGATTGTGTTAATTGTATAAAGTAAGTACCTAATTAATTGATAATGTTTGATCTATTATGTGCTTTTTATGAATAAAACTTTAATTGAAAAGAAAACAATTACCCTATTATATTATATCATTATGACTAGTGGTAAATTTATGTCATATAATATAAAAGCTGAATTTTCAACAATTAAGAATTAAAACTTACACTATCACTAACATTCATTATTTTTTATCCATAGATAAAATAAATATACTGAGTAAACATATATGTTCACTTATATATTTTTACATGTATAACATTGGTTAGTTTTTTTTATTTTTATAAATATTTAGGATAAAAAAATATTATCTATTGATTTATTCTAGGTTTTTGGATTCTCGAATGTTTGCAACTTGTAGTGATGACACAACAATAGCATTATGGGATGTTCGGAATCTTAAAGATAACATAAGAGTATTGAGAGGACATTGCAATTGGGTAAAAAGTATTGAATATTCAGCAAAAGACAATTTACTTGTTTCTAGTGGATTTGATGGCCAAATTTACACATGGGATATTAATAGGTAAAAAAATTTTATGCAATCAAAAAATATAAAAATAAACAAATTCTTTTTAACAAAATTATTGTTTGTTTTTTATGTAGTTTTTCAGAAGAAGGAAGAGTTCCCAGTAATTCTGTATGTCACATTAACGGACTTATGCGTATTAAACTTCTACCTGACTCTAGTAAATTAATTGTCTGCACAACAAGTGGCTTCATATTACTTATAAACAATTTAGACTTGGATACACTTGGTGCAGATATTCAAGGATTCAAAGTAATTTTTTATACTTAAAGCATTTAATATTTTATAAGTATGTTTATTTGGCACAATAGTGCAATTTAAATTTAAGCAAAATTATGTCTTAAAATAATAATTTTGTTATAATCAAAGGCTAGAAAACTTTCAAATGAATTTCTATTACTCAAAACTATAGCTACAGTATAATAGTGGAGTAAATTGCTTTGATTATAAAAAAAAATGATCTTCTATTAGTAGAAAAATATACAAATATAGTAGGTAATTTGTATTAGTACAGATTGCCTACTATATTTGTCATTCTGATTTATGTAATTTTTTTCTACCAAAACAATTGCTTAATTTTCTAAGAGCAATTATAAAACTAATAAAAAGATTAAAAATATTATATTTTTCCATTATTTAATTGAATTTAAGGAGAATAAATATAAAACTGTGTTTGATTATTAGGTATATCATTTCTAATTAATTATAAATTACATTTAATCACTACACAGAACATAATTTATCTACTATAGCACATATTTCAGTTTTTTTCAAATTTTTGCTTTAAATATCTTTGCTTAACATTAAAATAATATATAACTATATCTTATTAAATTTTAAATAGGTAATAATTAATAAATTTTTAATATCCTTAAAATATCATTTCTAGCCAAATATGTACCGTTTGATGCAGTTGAGTAAAACTACCATTCCTAATGCAGCTGCCCACACTCATATGTTCACTCGTAAACGAAACCGTGTTGAATTCATTGTAGATTTCCCTAGAAATGATGATGCTGAAATAATATCTTCTATTCAGGTAATACTTTAATAACATATTGTATTATATATTTTATTATCTATCAAAATGATTTAAACAATAAACATTTTAATAGGTGCATCCACAAGGTTGGAATGTATTAAGTCGAAATGTTACCACAGATGAACAATCTGAATGGACTTGTGTACATGACATACAAGATTTTGTCGTTCCTAAACAACAAGATGAACCTGAAGAAATGAGTTCTGAAGAAGCAAACTCATTGGAACATTCCTTAGCTGATGACCCAATGTGATAAACTATTAAATATACAATTTGAAAGTAATCTATAATTTTGTTTTTTACATTTTTTTTTTAGGGAAGGAAGACTTCACCGACGGACACATGTTGTGATTCCTCGAGATATAAGTGTTGGTATAAGTAGTATGATACCATTTTCTGTGTTAGGCCCAACAAGAGGCAACCGTCAAGCTGACTTATGGGAAGCAATGATGAATGTCAATAGTGGGAATCGTATAAGAAGTTTAAGATACTTATCAGGCAAGTGTGATATATTATTAAAATTTAATAGCAATTATATTTACATATACTAGTTTTTTTTCCCAATGCACTTAAGTTCATTTTTATATACACATACAATACATTACATAATAGTTGATGAGTGAAAACCTCTCAAAATCTGTGATATAAACTTCATTTTTAATCGTTTTTTTATTCAATAAATTACTAATTTATGTTGATTTGTTTTCTATTTTTATACAATTATAATACAGAATATTTTTCCTTGAATTTTAATTTTAACAAATGAGATAAATGATATAAATGTTAAAAAGTTTAGTGAAATAGGATATTGCATATTATTCTTTCAATTTTACTATTTATCTCAAATTTAGATATACCTATTAATATTTCTATCAAAACGTACAGAATATTTATTATAATAAAATTGTATTAACTTGGATAATAAATATTCTGATATAACAAATAATTTTATACACTACTTAATAATTAATGTTTAATATATATTGATATTTTAGAAGGTCGAGAGCGAATATTAGGTACATATTCTGGTGTACGGATTGTACGCAGTGCAACTGGATTACAAGATCAAGACCAAGATGACATAGAGGAAATGATAGCAGATGATGATACGGCTTCCGAACGATTAGTCACAGTATTATTTAATCGAAATAGTAATCGTGTACCTGACATCAGAATGCGTGGTTATCTCCCCCCAAATTCTAGAATTGATATTACTCGGCCAAGTAGGCGTAGTACTGTGGAAGTAGGAAGTGCCACAGAAACAATGTTGTTTKTCAATAGGCAACGCCATAACAACCATGTTTTGAATTGTATGAATAGGTTTCAGGTGCCCCTTAATCATAAAATTCATAAAAATTTTAACCGTCTTACACATTTTATTGAAGAGGCAAATGTGGGTAGAGGGTATATCAAAGAATTATGCTATTCTAGCGATGGACGTATAATATGCTCGCCCTTTAGTCATGGAGTAAGATTGTTATCATTTTCACCTAACTGTGATGAATTGTCTACTTTGCTTCCAAAATTGCCTGGTGTGAAACTTCACGAGATTGGTACAAATGTGTCTCACTCTAACATTGTACTCTGTACCAAATTCTCACCTGTCCACCCTCTGCTTGTATCTGGTTGTTTAGCCGGGCGAATCGTTTGGTATCAACCGAGACTATAATACTTAATGACTCTACTATTGTATGTATGTAATGTTTTTTTATTTATAGTACATTTTTTTTGTTTTTTTCAAACTTTAAAATTAAATGCCACTCTATRTCAAAAACATAGTAAGACAACATATCTTCTCATATATAAATATGTTACTTGTATTGAATATGCCAATGATTATATTCATAAAGAATGCTTAAGGTCTAGTGCACACCAAATGAGTTAAGTTTTTTTCGTACTGATGTAATGAATTATATTATTCAAAGTTAGTCACTTGTACGCGAAAGATGTAGGTATGCTCAATAATTTTGTCTTTTTTTCAAGTTTTACTGACAACAATGAAACATAATTTCTTTATCTAGACAATTTTTAACTGTTAATGTATATTAGTACATAATCTTTTTCATAYTACTAGACCTTTAAAACTATCAGTGACTCTTTTGTAGTGCATTAAAAATTTCAGTTCTAATAAAACTTAGCAAGTCGATACAATAAGCATTATTAAATATTTTAATGAGTGAACTGTTTGTCTACCAAACCGATTGGTATTTTGAAAAGTTTGAAAACATTATAACAGAATGAACGGAATTTATGGGACTTCAACAATATTCGATTATTGTGATAAATGTTATTAATTCTCACAATTTGTTTTGATAGCACGTTTAACAACAATTGATAAATTACTAATGTTGATACCATGATAAAAATAAAAAAACTAGTTGATTAAAACAACTACAGCCTATTCTGTTACTGTTAATAATCTCGGGTAAGTGCATTCTAGCTTTGTCTAATTATTATAAGGTGCCTTAAGAAATAATTTTTGTTTCATCAAAATAATAAAATATAATGTTATCAATGCTTACAATTAAGACGTTTTTGCTAGGTTTTCTCTGTAACATAATATTCTTTCAATAATTATGTAAATTATTATTATTATTTGTTTTTCATTATAATTACCTCATGTTAATGTATATAGGGGATTATATACTATATCAAAATTTATTATTATTATTATTAAACATTTGTATTTAAAGCAATAAAAAAACAAAAACAAAAATTGTATCATAGTACATACTGTATGTGCATATTATACACATTACATTACACATAATACATATATAACTATATGTAGTAATATATTGATTATGTATTATTGGTTTTTGATACTATCTCGTGTTTACTCCTTTTGGACACAGTCATTACTATACTTCTGCACTGTTGATTTTGATATTGTTTTCCTTTTTTGAAAGCTTACTGAATTAGTTTTTTTGGAGGCCAAAATATTCTCTCTTTATGCAGATACATATAATAAAATAAAACTATTTGTAAAGCTCGAATCAACGTGTATATTGTATATCATTTAAAAATAATGCAATATAAGTTGTTAATATTCTTATAACCATAAATATAATATTATTAGATAAATATAATGTGTATATTTATATATATAAAAAAAAAATAAAAATGATTACCTTCAATAATAAATCTGTTTACAAACATATCATAAAACAACACTACTTGATCTGTGTATGTGTTCTATTTAGTATTTATACATGTATCATGTATGAACGCATTAAGAATACAATCAAATGATAATAATGTTTTCACGTAAAAAGTAAAAGTATAACAAAAAGTTAGTAGGTAATAATAGAATATACCAGGTGATTCTTTTATCATTGAACACACATTATTTCAAAAAATACTAATGTTTTTGAAAATATTATTTTACATAGTTTCAAGTTGTTAAAAAACCAACGTTTTTATTAAAAAATTATGTTTTTAAATATTTTTTATCCTTATCGTTTTTTACTTTTTTGAATGACAACATAGTTTTTTAATTTCATAATCCAAAGCAGAATATTTTTCTAAGTATTTTGATTCATAAAAATYGAATTTAGGACGAGTAGTTTATGAGTTATAAGTATTTAAAGWTTAGATTGGCAGAGTGGAGTGGTACGGGGTTACCCCGCAAAATGTTTGTCCACTATTCCGCTTGTCTAACTGGCGCATCCGAGGTCTCGAGTACTAGAGGCTAATAGCWGGTACTAAACTAGTTGGGTCCCGAATTAATTTAGGTATTCCACTAGTTCCTGAATATTTTTTGGTAAGACTTACACTATGCTAACATTTTCGTTCCAATTTTAACTGACTGTCTATGATCTATTTTAACAGGTATGGTTAAAAATGTTTTTTACAGTTTTTTTTTTAAATATTAAAATATATAATATAATATATAATAAAAAAATTGCAGGAATAATCAATCGATTTGATTTTGTACAATTAATGTCGTATACATTTTTACCAACACACATGTGATTTTTCAAAAAATATTATTTTATTTGTGTTTATATTATATAATTACTTTAACATTTTAATATTTTTTCACTTAAATTTATATGGCTATATTTATATTATATAATATGTATTTTTATACTTGGTTTTTAACATTTTTAATATTTTTAMCAACACAAAAGTGATTTTGTGAAGTTGATTTTTATAAAATTCTAATAACTTATATTTTAATGGAAAAGAAACAAAACAAAAAAAAAAGCTGTAAAAAACATTTTTAACCATACTTGTGGTCTAAATAGATTATAGACAGTCCTAAGTCAGTTAAAATGGGATAGAAAATGTTAATATAGTGTAGTACTTACCAAAAAATATTCAAGGACTAATGTTGTAGTTAAAATAATTCAAGACTGAACTAGTGTAGTACCTATAAAAATCCGGGACCCAACTAGTATAGTACTTACAAAAATCCGGGACCCAACTAGTATAGTACCTAAAATAATTCAAGACCCAACTAGTGTAGCAATTTTAAATTTGRGACCCAACTCGGATGCAGCCGTCTAAACTTTAAATACTTATAACTCATAAACTACTCGTCCTAAATTCAATTTTTATGAATCAAAATACTTAGAAAAATATTCTGCTTTGGAATATGAAATTAAAAATCTATGTTGTCATTCAAAAAAGTAAAAAACTTAAAAAATATTTAAAAATTTAATTTTTAATATAAAAGTTGGTTTTTTAATAACTTGAAACTATGTAAATAATATTTTCAAAAACATTAATAATTTTTGAAATAATGAGTGTTCAATGATTAAAGAATCACCCGGTATATATTGTCTATATTATAGTAGTAATTAATTTAATAAGAGTCGCGTTAACATTCGTACAAAGGATTAACACGTTTTATATTATCCAATAAGTACCTGCTCCATTTCCATAAATATACATTTAAAAAGAAAATCAAACATAGAGCGTTCAAATTAATTTATTGGGACATTTCCACGATGCTGATGAAGTACGCCGTTGTCCTCTTTTAGCCATCACTTACACACTGGTATAAGTCACTGTACCAAATGATGAAGTCCATGTTTTTTTATGTATCGTTGGCGAGCTTCATCAATCAATTTTGCTTTCCTATCCATGAATGATCCAACTCCAAAATTATTGGGTTCTGTTTTTTTGGGCTAAAAATTAAACCACAAAACATAAGTAAACTTAAACTGAGAGTAAAACTTAATTTCTTCTCTTACTTGTGACTCAGTTGACCCACATAACTTACAATACTTAACAAATAATTTAAACCAAAATAAAAATGGGTATCAAGGATGGTTAATGATTTGTTTATTTTTTATGAAACAAATCTTAGAGTTAATATCAGCTAGTTGTGAAGCTAAGGTTACCACCTGGTGTGATTTAAAAATGTTCCATAATATTTAAGGTTACAACTCTTATTATCCAYTTAAAATTGCCACCGGGCCTGGACGCACTACTTTCGATCATTATTAGTTTTTTTGGGTAGAAAAGCTTGACAATTTAATACAAGGCTCTTAACATATTGTTACAATAGCAGATGAAAAATAAAAGAAATACAGTCACAATTTTTTTWACAGGCATTCAAAGTTTGAATTTTGACAACATACGTAAAAATCACGAAAATTCGCAAATTATATTAAGCTAGAAATTCATAAAAAAAATTTATTTTAAATGTAAGATTTGAAAATTTTTAATAATCTATATATATCCTAGACAGATAAACCATCTTCGCTCAGAATCGTTTTTCGTATACAATGATAAAATATCATTGGATTCAAATTTAATTCCATCCATTATAGTACCCACTTGTTACCTACTGTACRGCAGAGCGATATCCACGACTTACCCGCTTTTTTAAATTTATTTTAATGTTTTGGTAAAAAAGTTAAAAATATATTTTTTAATTTGATTATTTTCAAAAAAATTAACTAGCCATTTTGTAGTTTATTTTTCTGAAAATATTGAAGTTTCACAATTTAATTTTTACTAATTTCCTGATTTTTAGTATTTTTCCTAGTTTTAAAGAAATAAAATATGAACATGMCTAGGCATTCTGAAATCATTTGATCGACCATAGAGCACGCACGCGGCACAGCGTTTTACATGTTTGATAACACTACAGTGTTTAATAATTCGCAATTTTTCTTGAAACTAAAAAAAAAAATTTAAAAATCAGAGAACTAATGAAAATAAAATTTTGAATTGTCGATATTTTCAGACAAATAAACTTTACAAAATGGCTATAATGAATTTTTTTGGAAATAATTAAATAAGAAAATATATTTTTTAACTTTTTTACAAAAACATTAAAATATGAAATTATTGTAGTTCTTACCCCCGTGAGTCTTATTACAAAATCAGAATTTTAATATCTCCATTATTTCGGTAGGTATCGCAATGGATAAATTTCTCAAGGGACACCCTGTATATAGTAAATTTCATAATTAATAATTGCTCATTTACTCTAAATATTGACCGAGTGCTCAGTGATGTAATCCTATATAAATAAACAGCTTYCTGTACTTAATTATAATCATCTCAGGTGTTAATTTTTCAATCAATTCTTTTAATATACCTAATCTTTCTTATATTTTTTATTACACAATGGATCTTGATGATATTTTCAATCTCATATAACTTTGGTAAAGCAAAATATTTTATATTAAAAAATTRTTTTAATTTATATTAAAAAATTATTTTAATTTATGTTAAAACAAATGTGATGATAAATGACTAAATTCGATAACATGACTAAGTAGTTGTTAATATTTAATCAGTGTTTAATGGAATAACTAATCATGGACTTGTTTATTTATYGAAAAMATAATGAATGTGTAATCTTCAATAAAATAAAAAATACTTTGAATCAGAATCAACATTTAAACAAAAAGTAACTAGCTATATGATGACTGAATACTGAATAATATTTGAAAAAAAAATTCTCAGTTAAAGTTGTAGACATATAATATCATTAAATGATTAAGGTTGTTATATATTAATAGTTATAGCATATTTAGTAAAATGAAATAAGATTATAATTTACATAATATGACATGGCTTACCGTAGTCTTTGGTTCTTTGGAAGACTGTGGTGGCGGCAATGGAGTAAACTTAATAGTGCCATCAAGTATATTTGTAATTGTTATATCAACACATCTTGTTCGCCCTATGAAATAAAAATCATTAAATGATATTGTACCGTCATAACTCATAAGTGATGCATTATAGTCATGGAATAATGATCAGGGCTTGTAAATTTGTGCACTAAAATAAGATTAAAAAATGTATGCAACTATGATCTAAAAAAATCATAAATAAGAACAAATTTTATTTTTTTTTTTAAGTCAATGTCATCCTAATATTTTTAATTTAAAAGTATGAATAATGAATTACTTTTTTGTCCACGTGTTGGTTAAAAATTGTTTTCATTGAATTATCAGGCTGACCCTTATTTTTATAATTTAACTATATATCATATATGAATTGGTTTCATTTTTTAAAATGTCATTGTGATAATGACAAAAACCTCAAAATATACAATACATACAAAAGAAAATTTCTAATATTGTATTCTATTTACCTTGAAGCAAATGTATTTAAATTTTACCTACAACTTACAATGTAATATAACTTGGGGCTGATGAGSAAATGCACAAACTTAAATCCTGGTAATAATTTATATAAGTAAAAAGGCTTATTAGTTTGCATACTAAGGTTAGCAATGACAACATTCTGGGGAACGTATGGAAGAACATCAGTAACTTGTACAGCCATTCTTAATATTTCAGGATCCTCTTCAAAATTATCCAGAGTTACATGATGTTTGTTACGCTTTCTAGCGTTTTCTGCCAACTCCAAAAAGTATTTCTTTTTATATTCATTCTAAAATTGAATGTAAAATTTGATTATTTTATTAAATATAGTTACTATAAATCATAGTTTATAAAATATAATATTATTCTATGCTTATATTTCAAAATTTATAATATCATACTTTATCGTTTTTAGTAATATTTGAAGTAGATATGTTGAGTTCTTGAGAAATGGCTATTTCCACCCTGGACATGAAAGTTTCATTAGACTCGTCTTCAGATTTTTTAATTACCTCGAGAAGTCTGTGGTATTTGAAATATTAAATTATAAAGGTACTAATTAAAACAACCTGTCAGTTTACTCACTTGTATTCAAATTTTGTGAATGGAACAAAAAAAAACCATAATATTTCTGTAAAATATTTGGATCCGAGCACTGATAAATTAATATTTGCAAATGATGGTCGAATAATTCTTAAAGCTACTGGTTGTAAATTGTCGCTTATTAAAGCTGGTACATTAGAAAATCTTATGTTTTGATAAACAAACAAAATTATTATAGTAGGTATTTAAAAAATAATTAACTAAACATTTTAATAAATACCTAAGTAAAGCACATTTTCCATTAGTAGTAGCTCCTTCTGGGAATAAGAGCAGAGAATTATTATTATCRTTAGCTAAAAATTGTTTCAATATAGTTCTCTCCGTTGTAATATTATCATTAGTCAATATAGATATTAACCCAAAATACAATGCCACAGGTGTACTAAATAAAGTTGTTGGCTGAAAAATTGAAATAAAAATATTTAAAAAAAAATCTATGATAATTTATAGTTGATACTTATGAACATACAGCATAACTTCCTGTTGACAAATGTAACGCAATATGATCAAATAAAGACAAATAATTTGAAACCAACACTCTGCTTTTCTTAGTTGAAGAATTTTCTTTTTCAACTACAATTAGTCCAAGAACACCAGACATAACTTTCAGAAGAGGTCTACGAACATAAGACATTAGTAAATAATCATAATAATATACCTACATGTAATTTACCTGCGGATATTTGGGTAATTGCTCAACATCACTGTTAAAAGTATTGCATTTATTGCAATAAAAACTCTTAAAACCACTAGAATAACTCCAAATGGAAAATAAGCAATTATTCCTAGTGTTTCATTTATGGTCTTTGGAAACCTAAAGATTATAACCATAATTATATAATACCAAATATTTCATATTATTCATTAAAATATAATATATTACAGTTTACAAGTAAACATTTAAAAATCCTTAAATGTAATAGTTGAAATATTAAATGATCTTAATTAATAATCACAGTTTAATAAAATGGGCTGAAATAATTAATATAATGATGATACGTGACATTTGTCATACATTCAACTTTATAAACAAAATATTCAACAAACTACATCAAACCTTTTAACAGATTATGTTATGAAAAACGCTCAACACGTGTAAAAAACTAAAATAAACCAACTGAAAACTAGAAATAATTACACAAAAATAATTGCTCACCTTGATTTTTCCACTAAATGTTCAACTTCAATATTGGGGCTCATTGTTCGGAAGATATTGTGTTGATCTATATACGTGAAACAATATATTTAAATGGATTTCTAARGCCCAAATGTAGTAATGAACAATGGAGTTATTATTTATTACAAAAATTCTTTAATAAAAACATAACATTAAACATTTATACATAATACATCAATATGATATTATAATATTTACCACAGAGACGGATAGAAGACGGAATAGAATAATAGATTTAATTATCATTACGTTATCAATAATAATTCTCAAACGTTGATAACAGGTCTGGTATCTTTTACTTGGTTGTAGATATCAGCTGTCTGTTAATAATCTATATTATTATCTACAACTGTACAGTGTACAGTTAGTACATGTATCTATCTGTAGTACAGACGTACAGTGCCCTATACTAACTATACTTAGAATAGAAGCACGATCTTAGAAGATATCTTCAAAGATCGTGCTTAGAAGTCTGTGGCTTAAACTTACCCTTAATGACTGAACCACAAATTGAGAATATTATCTAGGGCATTTCGGAGGATTTTATTAATATTGTTAATTTTAAGTAAGTTTTTATCGTTAAAAAAAGTTTAAAAATGGTCATAACTTCTTAAGTTAGGTACTTACTTAAAAATAATATCAATAAAATCTTCAGAGGTGCTCTAGATAATATTCTCGCCTTTAAGTTGTATAAGAGGTAAATTCACTCCAGTTTTAGAAATAACGAGTTAAATGTATTTATGTATTATTGCGATCAAAAGTTTGCCATGTTGTACGTTTGTTAGACGGAGATAACAAATAATGTCCGTGTGACACGGCCATATTATGGTATTTCATAGAAAATATTKTTTTTCCAATTCAAATATTCACTATTCAGAAATTATTTTTGCAGTCATAATCTCATAATATAATACAGCAATGTTTTGGTAATCGATTTTTCTCCCATAATATTTTATTTAATCAATAGGTATACTCGACRAATCAAGATTTATATTATTTTATATTCAATATAATCACGAAAATATACCTATACGACCAAAAATTCCATGCAGAAAATGATTATGACCTTTCGGATAAATTTAGGAATTATCTTTGATACCATACTGATAAAACAATTAAATTCCAAGACTTACATCGGGCCGTCTGTAGGTACAGACTGTGTYCAGTGCTAAGTATAATCACTAGTCGATTGTAATTCTAGCTGCTTAAACTAAAAAACGTTACGGATCTAGAAATATAATGACTAGGGCTAGGGACTTCGTGCTCTAAAAACTCTTAAAATATGCATGTATGTATGCCCTTAAAATTGTCAAATATACTCTAAAAATAAGCAAAAATGCTAAAATATACTCTTGAAAACATTTTATTTTTCATTAAAAATCAAACGTTACAAATTTATTTATTACTATTTATTATTATTTTAATTTCTTCTTTAAACTTGCTTTAAGATATTATTGGAGCGAATTTATAGTATTTTAAATTGTTGATTTTTCAACGAATTGTCTATTCCTTCTAATATAATATACCCAATCGACCTAATCAATGGTTTATCTAATTTTGAACAATTTTTGTCAAATTTCTAGAAATTCATAATAAATATACATAATATTATTATAGTGTATAATTCTCCATGTTATGCATTGTTCGACGATTTTTTATAAATTTACCGAATACTTTTACAACTAGATTGCACTGCTGTATATGATTTAGCATGTTCGGTTAACTTGCAGGTAGAATGATAAAATATTATTTATTATCGAGCTGTCAAAGTGTCARCTACGTACACAATGAACCAAAAGGCRAAAAGTACWATTATTATAGCTGATTCCAGGCACTCTATTGTCCGTAAAAAATGTCAATTTTTATACAATTCAAACTTAATTATATTCAAAAATTTAAAAGAAAAAATAACAAAAAGAAAATATATTTTTCGCATACAGCCAAACGGGAATTGGTTGTTTTCAGAAATGAACAAGTGGTGATAGGAGGAACTTACCTATGTGTATTATAGGTGACGGTAAAACCATCAAAGGGTAAAAAGCGTGGCGGCGGCATTTGCGAGAAGCGAGACATTTTCAATAATATTGTCAAAAAAACATCAGTTGAAACTCGTCACATGCYGAAATCATATACAACAAAATTGACAATTTCACGATTCTTCAACATCGTCACTGTCTCTAGTTACTTCAAATTTTAATTTAAAATACTGTATGAAACACACTTATAACTCACTAAAGTTGTCATCCTATTTGTCACTGTTTCATCACACAATGGCTGAATCGCCGGGAAGTACTTATTGCTGTGATAATATTATGTAAATGTAATGTGTGGTAAAACGGTATCATTTCTCGCAACACTTCTTTGATCTGTCTGTCTGTCACAATTATTTCACCCTTCGGTTTCACCGTCACTTCCGTTTAGTTCCTCCGCGATCACGATTTTGGACGTTGCCGTCGCGCGTCAGCGTTATAATTTRTTTTTACTCTCACTCGTTTATTATAATATTATATCCGRATATCAGCTGATAACTTTCGTCCATCACTATCGTAAATTMTTTGGTGTAGAAGGCAGGGGCTAATATTAAAAGCAATAATTTAATACATCAATGAAGTATTAAGTAATCGTTCACCTATACGCAGAAAAAAGTTTTGGGGGGTATTTYTGAAAATMGGTTATTGAAAAGTAGAATATTTTTTTAATAAACATTAGATATAATACTTTTTTTTAAATATAAACGTTGATGCRTAAAAAAAATTACAATACTAAATCGAATTTTCAACCATTATGTTGATATATCTTCACAATTAACTTCTATATTATTATATTAATTATTTTAATAAATTGTTAGTATTGAATTTTTATATTTTGCTTTAGCCGGTTTTTCACAGCGCGAACACAATGTAATACCTGTCTATTAAAGTATGATATGACGATCAAAATTAAAATAGRATAAAAAGTAAATGACCGTACAAAAACCTGCAAATATTTCTGGGGCTGTTTGAAATCCAAAAATACCCCCCTAGATACGTGCCTGAAATACACGGCTACACTTACGCAACTGATCATTTGACTCCGAACAATAACAGAAGCTGCAGAACAGCACGCGGGTAAACTACAAAAAAAAAAAATAAATAAACAAAAGCAACGCAAATACGTAGACGTAGACGTAGACATAGACGTCGGACACGTGCAGTGTGTCGACAGAAACAATTTTTATTATGCACGCAAACAACCAATTTCGATGACATAATATTAAATATTGTGATTTGTGAGTGGCCTACTGATTGAGAACGCCGATCGTCAGGTGCAGCATGTGCGTGAGCGGATCAATAAAAGTTGCACGGGCGATCGGACGTTTTGCGAATGAAAATTTAAACGAGTTAGTCGACAAAAATGCGAATAGAAAATCGATGCGCAAAAAGGCTACGGCGARCGGCGAGAAAAAGACGTGCTTGATGCGCGAGGTCATCGGTGGCGAATGAGAGAGAGCCGTGCGCGACTGTTCGCGTGGTGAACAGCACGAACATCAGGTACGTCGGTCGGTAACGAATACAACAACAAAATGGACGGGGTGAAATTCGATTCGTCGTCGACGGATTGGACTGCGTACGTGTGGCCAGCAAGTGGGTCCTCCGYGATGCGATGAATATGCTGTCTTGAATATAGATCGATGGAAATCCACGCCGTTGACGTCTTCTCCGCGGGCGTTCGGGTATGACTATACGCGTGAGTGGCCGCTCGTAACGTGATGGCTGGAGCGCGGAGGCCTGGCCGCGTTGATCCGGACAAAAACATGACTGACCCGGCTCAGATCGGGAGGCATTTCGAGTATCTCGTGGTATCGAAGCTGTCTCGTGGAGTCTCGCAACGCTGCTACCAGCTCGGGCGGTGGCCGTGGCTCGGGTTGTGYAGCGGTGTGAAAGTATACTCGCCTGATGATGAGATTCTGAGCGTGTTGCCGTATACCAACTCAACGGAACCTTGTTCGATGCCCTCTTTGACTGCGTTGCGAGTAGCACGCGCGATAAGCAGCTTGCTGACCTGCACTTGAGCAATTCGTGCGCGCGTGCTGTGAAAACGTTTTTACCATACCGTTGGCCTGATGGCGATATACGGCGCGATGTTCGAATGTGCTGAATGCTGATCTGAACAGATCCTACTCGAACTGACGGCCTTGATCGGTGGTGATAACGTCGGGCAAGCCGAACCGTGCTATCCAGTTCGTTATGTCAAGAGCAGCTCGGCGACTGCGTATCAGGCCGACACATTCTTTATCAGCCACCTCTCTGGCCATCGCGTGATCGGTCCACGACGGTTATAGTATAGGTTACCTATTTATTGCATATACGCTGGACGGCGGTGGCGGCCCAATCGAGTCAATAAAAGGTGAATGTGACCGAAGCGTCGATCGGTTTGATGCTAGCTGGACGTAGTGTGTCTGTTTACTTTGGCGGGTTGACACGGTTTGCGGGCTCGGGTCCATTGCGTGATTTCTCGATCCGTGTCCGGCCTGCAGCAATACCGAAATTTGACGAGACGATCGGTGGAACGGTGACCGCCGTGGGCGTAATGCCGTGTCCTATATACGTGAATCCGACCAACGYGACACAAAAAAACAAAACAGTTTGTGTTTTGTCGCATCGGACACATCGTATTGCGACGGAACAGCATACGGTCAGAATAGAATATTATTGGTTTGCGCGCGCCGGATTCACGTACATTATATAGGACACGGCGTGATCGTGTATAACGCGTCAAAGACTCGAAGACTATTACAATAATTTTGATTTTAAACATGATCAATAGTCGTGCTAAAATAACGTGGTTCGAAGAGCCTAATTAAAACTTATAAGCAACCTTAGTAACTTGATCATTTATTTTTCCTTGACTGTTTTTTTATCCATTTATTAGAGCGAATATGAATTTTTTAACTTTAGGATGAATAAAAACGACACGAGTGAAGGTAATATAGCCCCCCATAAAAATAAGAAGTTTCGAATTAAAACGTTTTGTACCTATACCCATTATTGTTACTATTATTATTACTATTGTTGTTATTATTATAATTGTTGCCTATATTATAAAAGCTTTTTTTGTTAATAACRTCATAGATGATAAAAAAAACCCTACAAAAATGTAAATAAATGATACTATTGTGTCATTCTGTTTTTATTTTTCTATTATAATTTCTTTTGAAATATYAACAATCTATATAGCAACAAYTGTGAGCAATATAGGACTCRATATAATTATTATGAGGTGGCTCGAAGACTACGTTATAACAATAGTATCTTACTCCATCTAATATTCTTATCTTTGAACGCGTGTGTCTATTAGAAGGCTATAACTTAAAGTTTTAACTATAAAATTAAAACTTTAACCAAATAATCACGTTCAATACCTCTGTCGACACGTAGTATAAACTGTGCACGATCCTCATGTATGTACGTGTTAATAACATTATAATTTAATCTGATTATAATAAATACTATRTTGGTGCTTATATTATTTATTAATATTACATTTTTCATGTTTTTAACGTCACGATATTTTTGTGTTCACGACATTTTTGCAATTATGTTTTTAGTACGACATTATTACGTGGATTCTAGTTATTGTCATTGCGTGGTCTCAGAAAATTGAAAACCGTAACCGACCTCTGCAGAATCACTCAATCTCAATAAAATAACAACAAGCACTGCGTGATGTCGGTTACAACTTCCCGCGGTTGAAATGTGGAATAATAATATAATATAAAGGTACTTACTGTATATAATTTTTTTTACATCCGAGCGGTTATAAACGACATTTTTCTTTGATATTTTTTAAGCAAGCGACCGTCTGCGGTCCGGTCTTCGATCGAAATTCGTTTTCGCGAGTGATTTATATGTACTATTTTCCATTGCGACGTATAATTTTTTTTTTATTAGTGCACTGTGTGAAGTAGATATTCTAGCGAAACGACAACTACGGTATTTTATCGAGTATTGGCGAGCTTCGTCGAAGTCGTCATCATCCGTGAAAAAACTGTCCGCCACCGATACGCGTCACTCGCTTTCATCATATACGCGCCGATGTAAATTGCTCAGCTGCATATCATCTCTGAATTTTAAAAGTAAAACATGTTCCTCAAAAAAAAAAAAAATCATCGTAAAAACTTTGTTATATATTATATGCAATTATGTTTATATTAAATACAGTAAAACCTTCTCAGTGAAATAGTCGCGTTATGCGCATATAGTCGGATGATTCTTTGGTYGAACCATATACCTATTCAGGAGCTGGAATTCTGAATTAAGCCGATTATTAATATTRATTTTTTTCAGCCCTCAAAAAATTGTAACCCAATTGWATGATTTACTACAAAGCATATTACACATAGTGCTATATCACAGAAGCGTAAAGATATGTTGCCCTATAGCTATTAGAGTTTTGCCACTATATCACCGCTAAACTAATTTACTATGATATAAAAAGTATACCTATTGAAAAATGGATGCCATTAATTTCYAGGCCGGAGGCTCAAAATGTCTAAATAAGGTCACTAGCTGTATACGTATATGCTTCACATTATTATTATACGTATAGGACATACTGACATAGGTATATATAGAGACATCAAACAAAATTTTAAACACATTGACGTCTAAAATTATTGTTTTTATTTATCATCAAGATAGTTTTCTAATTAGTATACAAACATCGCGACCCATAGGTTAGGAAACCCTAACTATGGTACTGCCCACATATTTATAATCGCTATGAMATTCGAGCTCTGGTTATTATTTATGATTGATGATTAGTATGTAAATCATATCATATTTATATATTGTTATAGAGTTTGAAAAGAGAGAAATTATATTATTATAATTTCATCATTAGCAGTGGTGTAATGGTGTGTATTTATGTGGCGTGTGGCATGTGTCATTGTGTCGTTTATGTTTAGTCTCGTTATAGGTGAAGGTAAATTTCAGTCAGATTTKCTTCAGAGTTGTAATAGTAGGTATATAGTTACGTTTATGTTTTTAAACTAAACATACTCGATTAATGTTATTATTAACCCTTTTMTTAAAACGTTAGAACATATCAAATACATAAATTGAAAAGAATAATTAGGTAGGTACTGCCAGTCACCAGATACTGTCATAATCATGGTTGGCAATGTAATATTCTAAAAAACCCAAAATATGTGCTAAAACATTCAAAATAATGCATTTATAATATATGAAGCCGTTTGAAAAATTACAATCATTAATATTTGATTAGGTAAATGCCTTGTTGAACGTTACATAGTTGCTTATTTAAGTGAAAATCTTAAAATTTAATTTAAAAAAGAACCCTGATTTTATAGTTGATTTCTGTTGCTATACTTGAGCTCAAGCTGATAGATGCGCTATAGTAAAGGGTTCGATCAATCGCATATTATGGAACTATATATATATATATATGGGTATATACGTATATTTTATATACACACAAATACACGATATGACATCCGAGCCCTAATCATATTATATTGTTATTATTTATTGTTAATGAATAATATGTGCATATCATGATGTCAGTTATATTATGTATATATATAGTACCTGAAAATCCAGAGGAATTATATAATATTATAATTTCGGCGTTGGCAGTGGTGTGTATATGTGTGGTGCGCGCGCGTGTATGTGAGTGTGTAGCGTCGTTCGGCGTCGGCGACGGCGCTCGGGGGTGGGCGAAATGTCGACGTGACGCGCCGACCGAGACGTGAATGCCTATAGTACGGTGCAGTCCCGCGCGCGCCGGCTTCTTTGCCGCGTCTCCATCGGTGTCCGTCGTCATCCATGCACAGTGTGTGGCGTATAATGTTGTTATCATTGCTATAAATCGAACTTCTGTCGTGGACAATATTCGACACTGATTTTGTACTTCGTATTGTCACGTGCGTTGCGGACGGAAACTATTTGGATATATGGACCGAGGTAAAAAAAAAAAA